GCTATAATAAAGAAGATGGACAATAACCAAGTGCTGCTGAAAGTGTGGAGAAATAGGAGCCTTCATACACTGTTGGCGGAAATGTAAAATAGTGCATTTACGTTGAAAGACAGTCTGGTAGTTCCTCAGAAGGTTAAACATGTAGTTATTGTATGATTTAGCAATTCTACTGCTAGGTACATAATGAAGAGAAGTGAAAATATACGTCTGCAAAAAACTTGTACACCAATGCTCACAGTAGCATTATTGATAATGGCCGAAAAGTGGAAACAATCCCAAATGTCCAACGTCGATCAATAGATCAACAAAGTGTGGTATATCCACAGAGTAGATTATTATTCAGCAATAAAAACGAACAAAGCCCTGATACATGATGTACCTATTGGTACATCAATGACAAGAATGAACCTCGAAAACGTTATGTTCAGTGAAGGAAGTCAGACACAAAAGGCCACATAGTGTAAGATCCCATTGTTATATTCAGAAGAGGCAAATCTACAGAGATAGAAGGCAGATTAGTGGTTGCCTGGGGTTAAAGGGAGGACAATGACGAGTGTCTGCTAATGGGTATAGTGTTTCTTTTTGGGGTGATGAAAATGTCCTGGAATTACAGCGATGATGGTCACAAGCCTTCGTGAATCATTAAAAATCCCTGAATTGTTCATTTTAACAGGGTAGATTTGATGTGTGTGACTTGTAGCTCAATTAAAATAATGGCCTGGTGTGAGATATACATAAATACAATTTAAACATTATAGAAATACATAGAAATAAAACGTTCCTTATACTCCTCCCCAACTTTGCTTCCTAGCTTTATCTTGTTCTCTACACTGCCTTTTTGTTTTGAGAGAGAGCAAGAGCGTAAGCATAGAAGGGGGAAAGGGAGGGGGTGAGACAGAATCCCAAGCAGGCTCCCTGCGGGGCTCCATCTCACCACCAGGAAATCATGACCTGGGCAGAAATCAAGAGTCAGATGCTTAACCGACTGAACCACCCAGGTGCCCCTATACTGCCTTTTTAATACTATGTAGATTCATGAAGCAAACTAGGACCTTGTTATACACACATTGTTTGGTTACATTTTTAAATATGACCTGTTCATTTTTTCATCATAGGAAATAAGAAAAAAAATTCCCAAACTGACTTTTTAATATAGCACACCCAAAAGTCACAAAGAAAGAGATTGAGAACTTGACTACGTGAAACTCAAAATTTTCTATACGCAAAAAGAATTGCCATAAAAATAGAAAGAAAGAGTAGGAGAAAATATGGGAAGCATGTCTAATAAAAGGTTAATATTCCTGTATTAGGGATTAGGGATCCTATAAATTGGTTTAACGACGAACACCACGAGAGAAAAATGGGCAAATGTGTGAACCGGCAAGTCACAGGAAGGGAAATATAAATGGCACATACCCAGAAGAGAAGAGGTCAACCTCATCAGCGATCATTTTTTGCCAATCGGATCGGCAAAAATTAAAAGGACTGGTAACAGCCAGTACTGGCAAGAACAGGGGGAAAAGGATATTCATAAATTGCTGAAAGATATGTGAATTGCTACAACCTTCTGGGGAAGTAGTTAGGTAGTATTTCACAAATAAAGCACAACCTTTAACCACTTATGGGATTCTAACCAACAAAAATAAAAGCACCACTACTAAATATGTTCACAAAAATGTTTATTGCAGCAATGTTTATAAGAAGGGAAAAAACTGGAAACAACTGAAGCACTGGACTGTCTGTTGGTAGCTGACAGCTGAATAAATTGTGATTTATGGGGCCCATGGATATTAAAGAAGTATGTTTTAACCCTATGTGATTGGCGTAGAGGCGCATACATAGTAGATAGCTCTGTGAGAAAAGCAAGTTGCTGAGTAATTATACAGTAAATGCCATTAAAATAAAACCCCTAGAGACAGGAATATGTGTTTGTATCCTGTTATAGGCACAGAGAAAGCCTGTTAAATTTGGTATGTTAGGGCCTGGGCATGCTGTGTTTGATTATTTCAAAAAAGAAAGTAATTTTAAAAGATGGTGGTTGAGAAAGGACAATGTTGTGCTAATTTGAGCTTTCTTCAAAGCTGGAGACAGAAAGGATGAGAGAAGTCCGTGTCGATGAGACAGCATAACTAGAACACCTTACAGGTTATAAGGAGTGCTAATACTTTTCTTCTGATCTATCATTTTTGGCTCCTTGCAGAGGTGAAGGAAGAGAGGCTGGGAAGGAGCCTGGCCCGTCAGACTGAAGCACTGGACAGGTGGCTGGCCGGAGGTGAGAACTCTTTGTTTGGTTTCTGACTGACGTGTCTCCTTGGGGCTCAACTAGAAGAGAAGTCACCTGGACATCTCACCAGAGCAGATCAGGGCAAAATCAGACCAATAGATGTTGGCCTCTTCTGGATCAGTTCAGTTCAGGAAAACGAGTTACAATCCACATTGCGTATGACACATTTACCTTCAATGTTATTACTGGGGAACACACTTCCACTGGGGTCAAAGTAACTCCTGGAAGCTAGTTATTAACTCAAAGAGACGCAGTCCTGCTGAGTCCCTGAGACCTAATCTCTATTCTAGGAAAACCAAAATGTCAAATTGGGGAAAACTTTAGCTGTACTCTAACAACCCTGTCTAAAATGCCCTTCTGAGAGGGACTAGATGTGATTCCTGAAATGGCAGTTTTGGTAAAGGTTTCTTCTTTCAGTGTTGAGAAATGCAAATAATCTATTATTATTCTTTGGACAAGTAAAAATAAAAATATTTTTAAGGCGGTGGTATTTTTCTTTTTTTAAAATAAAGTTTATTTATTTTGAGAGAGAGGATAGAGCATGAACGGGGGTGAGGCAGAGAGAGAGACGGGGAGAGAGAGAATCCCAAGCAGGCTCCACACTGTCAGGGCACAGATCCAGGCAGGGCTTGATCTCGTGAACCATGAGATCATGACCTGAGCTGAGATCAAGAATCAGACACTTAACCAACTGAGCCACCCAAGCGCCCCTAGCGGTGGTACTTTTCAAGGGGACACTAATCCTGTTCATGATATTTTATAGGTTGAATGAATCATCCTTTTGATTGATTCATTTAGAGCTGAGAAGTTCTAAAGGCAGACAAGTGATGTGGCCCAAACACACAGGAAAAATACATGTGCTCTTGTTGGTGGCATTTGATTTGAAGAAGTGACTTTAAACTCTCTTTTGGGACATGAGAGAGACAAAAGGAGATTATCAGAAACTGACAGTTCCTAGAACATATGCAAATGTCAGGACAACATAACCCTTTTAGCTTCACGGTGGGGCTCCCCTTAAGGGAGCGTCAAAGACAAAGACATTTGTCCTTTTCTCGAGACACCAATCCTTGGCAAGATAAATCATTCTGCTGATGAACTGGACCCAGTGACCAGGCTTCTGCAGCAGGGGCATTTATGAACAATGTCAGGGGAAAAAAGAAAACCTCACCTCGGTTATGATCAGAGAAAGAAATGAGTGAGGGAAGAGAGAGCATAAGGTTTCCCTGTTTTCACAAGAACTCAGTCCTCTCAGGTCAGGGGCACAGGCACAATCCTCCACCCCAAACCTGAGGGGATAGGTGCATTCAGACAGGAAGAGTTCCCATCTACATTTCTTTTCTAATTTTTAGCAAAATTAAATCCTTTCAGTATGTTTCTGTCTTTCTCCATTTTTCCCAGGCAGTAACAGAAGAGCAGGGACCAGGCTAGCTAGCAGGACGAGGAAGTGACCACAGGGCATCTCTGCAGTTGGCACAGGGAGCTTTGGGATCTATTTTCAAAACATGCCCTAACTAAAACCTCATGTGCTCCTTGCCAATCTCGCAGAGGCTGAATAAGCCGCACGTGGCTCTGTGAAAAGGCCCCTCACCCCGTGTGGCATTTCTGCTGTCTGGTTGGGTTAACATCCCTGCTCTACTAGGGGCTCCTATCCAGGGAGCGCAGACGCGAACCGAGGGCACTGGCCTAATGAGGACCATGCTTCATTTCCTCCTTCAGATAAGCAGCTCTGAAGCGGGACTTCTCACTGGGTTTGCTCACGCTGCTGCTCTCGAGGCAGGTCTGAGACCCAGGTGGCAGTCTCAGGTTGGTTCCTTGTCAATCAGCCAGACATTGCTAGATCATGACACGGGCTCCCTCAGACCTTTGCAGGGGCCTCTCAGGTTACGGCGGGAAAGGGGAACGTACGGGGTGTCTATTCTTTTCTCTCCTTAGCCACGTGAGTCTTGCCTACGATGTGGCTGGTGTTGTTCCTGCTCCATCCTCCAGCATTGGTAAGACGGATGGAGCCTTGGGAATTTTTATCTATGAAGCACTCTGCTTTCCGGGTGGGCAGAGACGGGTCCTCAACTCCACTACTCCTCAATATGACTTCTCGTCATTTGTGGGGAGTTTGGGAAAGGGTATGTTACTCAGTTATGTGTGACTGACTAGGGTGCTTCTGCGGTGACCCTGGGACCAGGTGGATGGTGAGCTGTCCGCTGCTCACCAGTGGACAAGGGATGGTCCCAGGGTCTCCTGTTGACAAGGAAAACTTAAAGGGTGCCGGGAGAGCACCTGTTACTGAGGGTCTGTCTAGTGTCAATCAGTCAGTTTTGAAAGCGATTCTATATTTTCTTTCACACTGATGGGGTGCAGGACGAAGATGAGGCTGAGGACTAGGGTATCCTTTCAAAGCAGATGGAGAAGGAGAAAGGGAGGTGGAAGGGGGAGATCTGAATATCTCAAGCTTTCATGCATTATACTTAACATTTTTTTTTTTTTTTTTCTGAGCAGCTTGCCTCTGTTTGTTGAGTACTGAGATCTACATCAAATTTCAAGTGCCTTCTAGGACAAAAGTGGTGAATTTGGAATGACTCTGAAGCATCCTGCCTCTGTGGATGGGGGAGGCAGTCCCTTTACTGGGACCTTTAATCTGGGAGTGGTGGGGCAGCAGGTAGAGTCCAGGTAAAGGACCGCAAGAGTGGACCACATGCTTGAATTTATGCGGGTTCCCTACCTCCTGGCCCCTGTCCTGCACAGGACACGACTCACTGTCTGCTTCCGAGAACGATCCGGATTCGTCGCTGGAGTTGGTTCCATAAGACTGCTCACATTTAATTTGGGGTCGGACTTGGTTGTACATTCCATCTCCCATCAGGCCTGGTTCCTGATGTTCTGTGGCAAGGAATCTGGCTCCCTGGGAACAGGGCGAGGAGGAGAACTCACAGAGAGGGAGGCTGCAGGGTGAGCCCCCACTCCCGTCCTCTGCGTAGGAATAGGAAGAGCACGAGCTGGAGGTCCTGGTCCTGGTCTCCAAGGGGGGCGAGCGAGGGCAGACTTTGATTGGCACCGGGCAGCTAGTGTTGGGCCGTATCCTTCCTGGCAAATGGTCAGCCATCAGCCCACCGTGGGAGTAGGCCTGTGAGCTGGGGAGGGACTGGCCAGCCCCCACCCACAGACCCTTTGGCACCGGCTCAGAGAGGTCTTTGTCCAAACTGCTTACCCCAGAATATGAATGCACCGCAGTGCTCACTTGGTCACAAGCGCTCGAGGAGAAGATCACACTTCTCCGGTCCAGCTCTCCTTCCTGTTTACAGAGAGCCTCCAACCCAGGCCCCTTGAGGGGCGACCCCATGGTGAAGTTGGACACGTCCTTCTGGCCCAGGTGGGGCTGTCCGTAACTCCCCGGGAAAGGGGTGTAGTCAGTTTTAAGGTCACCCTGAGTGATCCCCTTGTCAAAAGGGCACGCTGAACTCCTGGCAAAGTGCTGCTGAGAGGTACCGGGCAGGCCAGACAACTCCACACTTTTTGTTATGAACAGAGACCTTAAGCAGGAGGGGGAGGACACACTCCCGGATCTCTCCAGGCAGGTGGCCCCGGCAGGGGGGGCGGGGGCGGGGGCAGGGCTGGGCTGTTTCCGGTCCATTTCGACGTCCCCCGCTCTGTCCTTGATGTCAGGCTCATCTCCGGACAGGCAGAGCGCGATGCTCTCTTCCTCGTTCTCTTCACTGGGCGGCTCACTTTTAATCTGCCCCATGGCAAGCCCCGGCTTGAGGCTGTTGCCAGAGTTATCTTCACTGAATGTGCTTGCAAAACCTGAGGTACTGTGTGATGATGCATTATAGACATTCTTGGTACATGCAAGCTGGTATTTCTTGTATCTGGGGTACTGCCTTAACGCGTCCTTCTCGGAGCTCTCCTTGCTGTCGGGCGGCACATCGGACTCGGGCAGCAAAGCTTCTTCCTTCTCTGCTACTGGGATGGCAGCGGCCTCAAAGCTGATGGGGTCTGGAAGCATCTGGTCCCTGGGGCAAGCCACCTTGGCCGTGTCCGAGTCCATCGTCTCCTCCTCTTCCTCCTCCTCCTCCCCCGCGGAGTTCTCACGGTCCTCGTGCGCGCGGGGGCACGCAGCGTCCTTACGGCACACGAACAGGCCATCCTCGCTGTTCAGGAGCTGGGTCTGCAGGAAGCTGAAGCAGGAGTCCTCCAGGTTATGCATGCGCAGGAACTCGGCGCAGCGGATGACCTCGCGGATGTTTTCTCTGCTGAGTAATAGCTTGGCGGTGTAGGCAAACTGTAACAGCGGCCCGAAGCCCCTGGCCGTGACCTGCAAAACAAACAGGGAAATTGCCGACGTTACCATCAGCACCGCTATTGTCCCGAATCCCTCAACTGAAGCAAGATAACCAGACAGTGCTAATGTCCCAGAATAAAGACTGCAAAGGAGCAGTTAATCTCGTACTGGGTCAGCAATGATTCTGCTTCCAATAATTAGTGCCTGTCTCGTGCACGCCTGGGCTCCACTTCATCACCTGGCACACAGAATTGAAAATCACCAGGGTCAAGTGGCTAAACAAGATGACAAGGGGTTCAGTGTTTACGCTAATGAAATATCCTGGCAAAAATGCACGGTAACAATGGGAAGCCTATTAATTTCCCTCCCTGTCAGTGCTGTGGAGAGCCATTCTACATAAGGAGTGCTGTGACACTTGCTGATCACTTGAGCCAAAGAGAGCAACAGACTTTCCTTGTCAACTACAAAACTGGCAATATGGCCTGTTAAAAACCGAAAGTCTACAGGGGGTGAAGAACAGTGTTCCCTCACTTAAAAAGTTACAAAGTGGCATTAAAGCAATTTCTGTCTTTCTCATTCATCACGGTTTCTGGCTGGGACTTTTCAGTCATCATGTCATACCTGATCTTGCAATGATACCAGAGACAATGACAACCTGAAGTGGTGTTCTCAACAAGAATTCAACTCCTGGCCCATAAAGAATGGGGGTTACAGAGCTAAACAAATCAGCTGTCATTATATGGTTGAAGTTTGCTGAGTGGCCCAGGACACGGGCTATTCCTTTCCTAATCATAAGCAGCCGCTTTGCCATGCAGCTGTCTTCTTTCCCGACAAATCTTCAGAGGCTCAGCCTACTGTCAGGTGCTCCTCATTTCTTTACATTTTATAGATTGAAAATGTGCTATTTACGCACAGTTTTGCGTATGCACACACACCCATCACAGAGATTGACTTCAACAATTAGAAACGCATGGCCTAAGGCAACCTGTTTTTTCAGATGGAAGTGGGTCAAACTTGCTGGTGTTCAGGGAAGGCTTTCTCACCCTACATGCCAAACCTACATGCATCTTCTAGGTTCCTGCAAGTGCTGCTGACCCCATAGCAAGGAGAGGCAGGTCTACGGATCATGTGTACAAGTCAAATGGACACAGTAATCATGGGGTCCTTGCTGGAAGCTGTAGTAACAGTGATTGAAAGATGTCTGCTAAGGGAATAAGTGCAGAGCAAGTTGAATTAGCAAGTTCTGTAGCTGACTTCCACGTGTACTGAACTCACTGCAGCACACAGAGCCAAAACTCTGGTGAGGACTCAATCCCTTGTTCAATATTCAACTTGGACATCAGCTTCTCTGGGAGCAATCTCCAACGTCTTAGAACAAGTGATATGAGCCTCTCAGCCCCATTGCCAGAGTGAGGAGATGTCCTGGGTTGTCCAGGGCAGCACTGATTTTTATATGCTGCATTCTTTCCAGTAAGGGAAATTTCTTAGATATATAACTGAATGGGATTTAATTTTTTTATTAAAAAATTTTTTTTAATATTTATTTTTAAGAGAGAGAGGGAGACAGAATGCGAGGAGGAGAGAGGCAGAGAGAGGGAGGAAGACACAGAATCTGAAGCAGACTTCAGGCTCCAGCTGTCAGCACAGAGACTGACAGGGGGCTCCAACTCATGAATCCTGAGATTATGACCTGAGCCAAAGTTGGATGCTTAACAAAC